CCAAAACACACACACACACACCCCAGAGATGAGACAGCCTTTGTACCCCTGTGGTTCGAGACACACACGAGGGGGGACCCACCTGGACATACTATTCACTGTGTGACTCCCCTTCACTATGAAGGTCCCCTTCTAACGGGGAAACCTCATGGTACCTAAACGTTTAGACGGAGACCCCCCTAGGGAGAGGCAGGGAGTAGCAGACCAGGGTTCTCTGGGCCCACAATTATCCTGTACTCTAGTACATACTATGTTCCCACAAGGTTCAAGTAGGGTTTGAGTGGGGGTTCCTTTTTTCAATGCTCATTCAATAACATGCTCAATACTACTATGAGCAATCCCTTCAGTTCTAGCAGGGTCCATCTATAGGTGCGGCCAGATCTTCCAAAGACAAGATAGCTCTATACATCATCCCAAGCGATCGACTAATCCTGAATGCACAGCAAGAATTCATACATGTACCCTCTAGATCTCCCCCCTTCTCTTCCCTCCCCCCTCCCCATGGACTGACAACCAGACAGACCTGAGATCATCAGAACAACATGCAAACCAAACACCGAAAAGCCCTCTCCCGAGCCCATCCCAGCATACAACAACCATAGACGAGGACCCCTTAGACGGTGCGCGGGCAGTGTCTGTATAAACGAACCATGCGGGGTGTGCGAATGGTTGGGCGCTATGAAAGCGCGTTACGCGGGACGTGCGCGAGGCCGCAGAGTTTTTAAACCTGCAACCTCATACCACAATGCGCATTTCCAGCCGGTAATCTAACCACTGTGCCACCAGGCCACTCGCACGTTGTCATCTGCCAAGTTCCAAACGAGCCATTAAACCGCCATTACCTCCATGTTTTTAGGCCGTTAACGCGGTGGCTGAATTGGTGCGCCGCGCAGGTCCATATGAATTTGCATCAGAGCCTCCCCAGAGGGGGCCTTAGACCCCCTGGGGCACTGGTGGTTTAAACAACGGCGTTCACCCGAAATCTGTCCAAGGTCTGCATTTCGCGAAGTTGTAACGTCCTTAAATGTTAGGCTTTTTATTTAAAATTTTTACTACTAGTTTTCGTCATGAATAAAGAAATCATGACTATGAGCAGACAATGGACGTGGGTAGAGCGGAATATCATTCTCACAATTAAAAACCCCTAAGAAATGGGAAAATTTGCATTATACCCCTCAAAGTTATATGCCAAAATGCCCCTAATAGACGTGGGTAGAGCGGAATATCATTCTCACAATTAAAAACCTTTGCAAAATACCCTTTGCCCAGTTGGACTGACCATCTTTGCAATATACACCTACCGGGGTTACAGGTCCAACTTTTCAAAATACCGCCATGCCTGCCAACTTTCAGAAGGCCCAATTAATTTTCAGTTCACCCCTACCGGCCTATGTCATCTTTTCAATACACCCCCTGGCCGCTGGTCTCTCTCTCTCTCTCTCTCTCTCTCTCTCTCTCTCTCTCTCTCTCTCTCTCTCTCTCTCTCTCTCTTTCTCTCTCTCTCTCTCTCTCTTCTTATTCCTCGCCCTTTCGACCTTTCCATACTCTTCCTTTCTTTGCGTGATTTACCCTAGACCCTGACAGAATGGTATGTGATTGGTATCAAAATAATGAGCATAAATGGGGGGCATGCATGCTCGGGAACGGGATGTGAAAGCCAGAGTTCACAAAGGCGGAAGAGAGAAATCCTACGCACAGACTTCCATACACAGAGAGAGAGAGAGAGAGAATGAATCTTCCGCTAGAACATGGGAAGATACACCGCGATATACAACAACCAAACTAGGAGGAGGCAACCTAGGCACAATAGAAGGAAATCGACTGGTAATGAAAAACTGGTTAGCACCAGCACCGCAGCACAATCTAAGAACGGACATCTCCTCGACAGACCCACAGAGCATCACGACAGACACAGACCACAACGTCCCGCAGGATAGAGCAGATGACAATATATAACCCATTGGGATTTGCAAGTAGAGAAGGGTCATAAGAATGCAAAGCAAGTTATTAGATATAGCAGGCCCTGAAGTCCAAGGCTTTTCAACGGCTCTCCTAGGGTTTAAGGTTTTAGCAAAAATTGCCAGTAGGTAGCCTGACTCCAGGGAGAAAGAGGTCCATAGACAGCAGACGATGGGAATTCCAAGTACTACTCAAATCTAGGGCCATTAGGGTTTAGGGTTTTAGCAAACGGACATTAAGTAAGCCAGCCAACAGCTCCAGCACCAAACGCAAATCCGACAGCCAGGTAGGTGAAAGGAGCAAACCTGACAAGGCTCTCATCAGTAGTCCACAAACAGCAAACAGGCTCAGCAAAAGATAGATCAGCACCCTAGGTCTAAAATAGGGCATCCTTCCTTCCCTAGGGAAGTAATTAACGCCATCCACTCGGGCCTCTCAGCCGTAATCGGGGGGAGCGTACAATTTCCTGACTTGCCAATCAAATTGGAACCGGACTGATGCTCCCTAGAACCCTAGAAAGGAAAGGAGCCAGGATCGTTAACGTTCTGTTTGGGGRAAAAAAAAAGAAAAGATACACCGCCATATTTTTTTGTCTACAAAAGACAAAAAAATATGGCTGTATATCTTCCCATGTTCTAGCAGAAGATTCATTCTCATTTTGCATGCTGTCCACAAAATCGGGACAGGTGAGCGGCATGCAAAATGAGAATGAATCTTCTGCTAGAACATGGGAAGATACACCATCAGATTTGGCTTCCTATTGGGATTGGGATCGGGATATGTAAACGACATGCAAAATGAGAATGAATCTCCCACTAGAACATGAGAAGATACACCACCATATTTTTGTCTACAAAACACAAAAAAAATGGCAGTGTATCTTCCCACGTTCTAGTGGAAGATTCATTCTCATTTTGCACATTTGGTGATAGTGCAGCTAGGCCCCATGTCACAATCATTGCCGTCTCTCTCTCTCTCTCTCTCTCTCTCTCTCTCTCTCTCTCTCTC